TTTCTGACTTGCAGTTTGAGATCTAAATAAGACGTAAATCTGTCGAAGAAAGTAGTATAAAACAAACGCGTTTGAAGGAGAATAATTCAAACATGCGTGACAGTTCTGTTGTACATGTCTGCTAGCTTTTGGCAAGCAACCATCAAGGTAAGTTGTTACCTTGATAATCTCTTGCTTTTGGCCTATCGTCGGTACAAGCCTACTACATTAGTCTTACGTTAATTTTTTTTTAAAATATTTTTCCCTATGCTAATGTAAGCGCCTCATGAACAAGGGTAATTATGGTGTCTAATCAAAACAATCTTGATTAAACAGTTGATTAAAAGTTCGACGAAAGTTGTTGGCTCCGCTTGATTCATTGTCCCTCACATCACTCAATGCTCACCAGATCGATCTTCGGACCAGTAGTCTAGTTGGGGAACATGGGACTTCATTTTCATGAAGCGTAACATCAGGAAATGTGACAGAAAACAAAAAGGCCGAGAGAAATTAATTCTTAACCACGAGATCTAGGGGAAGGCACCGGCCATTTCGCACTGAAGGCAATTCGTTTTTGAACGATGGGCATGGACAAAAAAATATATAATGGATCGTTGCAAAAGGGTTTCAAATCGCCATCCCTCTTACTTTTATTTTGCTCTTGTAATGAATTTAATTCCAGAGAGAGTAAGTTTTTCATTTGTTCTTCCATTCTTGATTCCTTCCTTCCTCCATACGCATGCACTTACACATTCATTTCCTTTCGCAGAAGAAGACAGAGATGTGATTATCATCTTAGCCGCTGTAGCGCTTGGTGTCCTCGTCATTGCGTTGTTCCTGCTCCTCATCAGTTGTTGCTTCTTTTGGAAAATGTGAGTACAATTTCAGTTACTTAATGCTAGGAACGTGCCGAAGCTTATGCTGCAAAACCTTGCATTTGATTTGCTGTCAGGCTGCCGCCGAACAATTAGACTGCGAGCTCGAACCAGGATTTCATCGACTTTTAGTATAAATCTTTTGGCATCCCATCACGAAAGCCGTTGTCTTATTGGCTACGCTACTCGCTATTTATTTTGTTATAGATAGTGGGTAGCCTAGCAGTGTGCGGTTGTTAACAAATTGGCGACCGCTTCTTTGTATTTCGAAGTGTCTGTGAAGAGGATTTAGATAAAGTTTTGAACGACTAACTGAATTGAACTGCGCCCTCGTTAACTATGACGCGATAGCTCGATATCTAATCGTTAAATAGTTCGCAAGAAGTGTAGCGCCGAGTCAACTGCCAAAGTCCATAGAGATCGACTGCGAACTGTTTAATATTAATAGTCTTTTTACCGATGTCGCGCTTTTTCTGATTTTTTAATCCAAACAAAAAATAAACCGCAACGCTCTATTTCTTGTGACGAATTTAGTAAATATGCAAAGTTTCATTAAAATCCGTTGCAAACACATAAAAATATGGAACCCCTAGCTGACTAGCCAATATTTGGCACATACATTTAATTCATGGTAGGGCACATATATAGTTTGCTTTTATTTACTGCCGTTTTCTTGCGGTTAGCATTTATATACTGTGTTTGCCTGCGGTTAGCACTTAGTTACTGCTGTTTGCTTGTGAGCATTTAAGGTGTGAAGGGGAAGGCGGCCAAATGTGTCCTAACATGAATTATATACTCATTTTTTGCAAAGAAATATATTCCGGGGGAGTGGGGCGGGGGGCGGAAGTGGGGGTGGGTCAACGCTTGCCACCTGACATACATTTCTTTGTAAGTTTGGGGTCCCGTAGGTTTATGAGTTTGCAAAGTATTCTTATGAACCTTCGTAGATTTACTAGATTTGGCATAATCAATTGAACTATGCACGTGATTTTTTTGTTTATTTGAAAATACGAAAATTGTTGATATTGCGTGACATCGCTAAAAGGTCTTTTGTTTTGTCATCATCACCCGGTAGTAGTAGATCTGCCAAATTATTCCATACCAATAAGTTTGATTTATCAACAGGTTTTGGCCATTATGTATAAAGAAGGTGCAGTGTATATCCTTAGGAACATACTATCTTATAATTTATTTTCCGTACATTGGAATAAAATCCAACTAAATAATTTCTTTATTTTCTTCGCTTTTTTTTAGGTTGAGAAGGGCAGAGAATCGGAACTATTAACAGCAAAATAACTATCAGCTCAATTGAACTTTTCTGTTTTTATATTTCGCTGCGACAAAGCTAAGCTTGTCGTTATTCCAATATCAGCTCCCTAGTATTCTGCGGTGCTTTGGTAGAATATAAACGAACGATTGCTTGTTTAGTGGAAGCAGTGTTAGCTACATACTAAGACGAGACGATTCAATGGAAGAAAAAGAAGAGAAACAATATATATATATCCTCAATCAGCTATTGAGTGCTCGCCTCTAAAGAAAAACGCTGGTCGCCTCCTCACAGATTCTAGCGTTCTATTCACTACCCTTAGATGTTGAACTTTCAATATATCTTGAATTTCTAAATATCTTGAATTTGCAAATCTTGAATTTACCAAATCTTGAACTTCCAAATCTTGAATTTCTACATCTGGCTAGTCGTCAATTTTTTTCCCGATTGGCCCGATTCCAGTAGTAATTAATCAATGCGTTCACCCTAACCCTAACGAATGTCTCCTGGCCCGAAGGATACAGATACTTTTAGTTTATTGAACCAATCAACACTTGAAGTAAATACACGTAGCTGACACGATGCGCGGGAAAACGTGGACGAACGAGTCAAAATTGATTTTGATTTTACTTCTGATTGGATGAAAAAGTGGCGCGAGTTATTTTTAAGACACTCGTGTATGCGGCGTAATAATGCAAAACCACACCCTTTTCGACACTCAAGTGAAAACCTCTCTTTACTTTAATATTGGGTAACCTATTCGTTTGGATTTTACTTGAGTCAAGGTTATAACGTATCATATTGCAAACGTGCTTTAAAATTATCGTCCTTCTTCCTCAGTTACTAACTTATTGTTATGCATTCTTTCTTTCGTAGAAGAAGATAGAGATTGGATAATCATCTTGACAGCTATTTGCATCGCTCTGCTCATTATCGTGTTGTTTGTACTTATCATCAGCTGTTGCTATTTCTCGAGACTGTAAGTCGCTCATTTAATTATGCAATGGTGATGAATCTTCTATATACCTGTATTTGACTGGCTGTTACACCGTTGACATCGTTTATCTCTAGTCGGAGCCCCATTAGGGGTTGGGGGGGGGGTAGGTGGGGGGAAGGGGGGTAGCACGAGTATCCCAAACCCCGTTACATTTTGGTCTATTATCCCGTATCCGTTAATTTAATCTTTCAAAAATTACAGTTTTCTGACTCGATACCCCAGGGTACGAGTCCTTTCTAAGTATCCCATATCCTTGTAGTCCCCCATGAATATCTTGTATCCAGTTACTTTTTGACCTAAATATCCCCTATTCCGGAAACCCCTTATAGAATCTCCAGGTCCCATGGTAGGATTCTGTCGGTTGATAGTTATCGAGGGTCAACGTAACCTACCATGAGTCTGATCTGAGTGCCCCCTGGAGACCCATACCACCTAAAACTATTCCCTCTTCCCACATCTCTATTAACTTACTTATTTTAACTGTCCCCATTTAGTGCTTCTTGTACTTTCATTTTAGCTTGACACTTTAATGGTTTTTAATTAATAAATGGATTATTATTAGCATTATTATTATCATTATCATTATCATTATCATTATCATTATCATTGCCTGCGATCAGACGTCGTTATTTTTATTTTTCCTGTTTTCTGGAAGAGAAATACCAGAACCACCGATCGCAGGTAGCCCCGTCTCAACTATCAAAGTCGATGGACGCTGCGAGATTGAGTAGTCTCCTTACACCAATTGCTTTGACAGAACAAAATGGATGATCTATTCCCTCACTCCTTATCCAAATGACTTAAATTAAAACATGGTAGAGTAACCTCCCTTGACTCTCCTTCTTCGCCTCCCCCTCAGGGCCGT